TGTGTTATTTTTTGTTTTTTACCATGTATTAGAGTAGCTATTTAAGGAGAAAATGATAAATGTAAATTTGTTGTATATAAGATATCTCCTAGGCCTCCACACGAGTTTTACTCAGTGAGGCCTAGTAATCTTTACCGATATTAAAATAAATAAAAAAATAAATAAAAAAATAAAAAAATTTGGGTATGATAAAAAAAAGAAATAGGTAGGTACTCAAAAAACCATTTATAACAATTAACAGAAATCATTCAATGTAGACAATCGAAGCCACAACCAGGTAAAGTGGTACATATTATAAATTGAATATAATTTGCGAAAGGATATTTTAAATAGTCCATACCATATATTTGGCAAACACTCTAATTGTGCCCGATATTTTTGCACTGGAAGAAAGTTATACGAACTGAATTTGATCGACGAAGTAATGCAAAGTGGTTTGATGAAAGAAATTACAACTGCACTTAGACGTGTTGCTGATAATGCAAAAAGTTTATTACTTGATGTTGATAACAACATCTGCGAACAGTTTAATAGTGTCATTAATAAGCACATAGGCGGTAAACGAATTAATTTTTCTCAAAAACAGTCGTACACCACTAGAATATATACTGCTGTACTGCTATAGTATCATTTAATACAGGTGGAAATTATATACGAGAGCTTCACAAAAAGATAACAACCAAAAGTCCAGGTACATTATTTAAAAAGTACCTACAGTGAGTTTAATTAATTAATTTTAATTTTATAATATTATTATGGCATGAATTAGAATTTAATTGAAATTTTGAGTTTTTTACAACAACGCTTTCAAATTAAAATTAAATAAATACTACCAAAACTTATATTTCACATTTCACATTTTTATATTTTGGTATATCGTATTAGCTATGAGTAAATTAAAAATTGAAATAATTTGTATATTAAAGGTGTATAGGCACAATAATAAAATAAATAAAATATTTCATTATGAATTATTTTTCAGTATTTATAATGTATGAATAGTATTAATTTATTATTATTATTATGTGGGTAATTGTTTTAATATTATTATATGTGTATAGGAATCATAGCCAAAAATTTTTTGAAGCATACGCAGGGCCGGTTTTAAGGGGCGGCAAAATTATCTCAGATAAAATAAACAAAAAATTAATTTTTTATGTAAAGAGAAAGATTTCTAAAAAATGATACATTTTATTACTATTTATTTTTTAAATTCACATATGCATACGTTTTTTTTTACCTATATTTTATCATTTTAAATAAAGAAAAATAAACGTTATTAACTAAGTAGGTAGGTACCTACTAGGTATCATGGAAGATTCTAGGTAGATAGTACCTAAGACCTAAGTTATAAATTAGTTACTTATGTTTTTTTGTATAGTTTACCTACTATTAAAAATCTAATATTGGAATGCATAGGTACCTATAGTTAAAATTGCTAAAAATTAACTGCAAATTAAATTTCAATGAGAAAGGGAAACATAAAAAGGTGGGCAAGTGGCCAGTGGGTGTCGCTCTGCTGTACAGTAGGTTACAAGTCTGTCACTGTATAATGGATAGTATTAAATTTGAATTCAATGATATAATATCATTGTATAAGAAAAACGATTCTGAGCGGAGATGGTATGTCAGTCTAGGTATAAGACATAATATTGTATACATATCTATGGTATTAGAAAAAAATTGACCTATAATAGGTAGTAGGTACCTATAATAAATTCCAAATTAATCATATCACAATATCCATTAGGTGCTGATAACGCGTTATACATCAACAACATACCGTGATACTATCATAGATATATAATAGTACACTTTAGAAGTTTCAAGTACTCACGAATAACATTATTCAATCACAACAAAATAACTAAAATAGTTATTCTAGGTTTTTTAATATGTAATTTCGTCCAAATTTGAATTTAAAATTTCTGTAAAAAATAACTGTGTTCATATATTTTTTAGATTTTTTGGTTACAGTATGAACTATTTATGAGAACCTTTGTTTTAAATTTGCAATCCTTAGCTATAAAAACTGAACATTTTATAATTTATTAATTACAATGATTTATAATTTTCGAGATTTTGATACATTTTGTCAAAATTCGATCTTTAAATGCTTATAAAAAAAAACTGTGCCTATGTATTTTTAATATTTTTCAACTGCTCTTGTAACAATATATCAGGAGACTTGTATTAATTTTTTACACTTTTTGGCCCAATAGATAAAATTTTATTGATATTTATAGAAAAAAAACTAAAAAAAATTGAAAGATGTAAATGTCCATAAACAGCTCAAAAAGAGTAAAAATATTTTCAAAATTGTATGGTGTATAGGAAATGCTAATATGAATATTCAGTGAAATTTTCATGTATCTAAAGTTATTCGTTTTTGAATTACAACAAAATAAGGAAATCGCTACATGAGAAATCCAGTGAATATTCAATGTTGTAAAAATTTGAATTTCAAACGCTCTTAAAAATTTAATTTGACTTTCTTATATACATTTTTTTTTTGATAAGGGTAGATAATCTTATAAGGAATCTTGTATTACATTTTCAAATCTTAGATTTAAAAAGAAAAATTTTTACGAATTTCTAACTCAAAATAATTTGCTAATTTTAGTGATTTTTCGATATTTTGTCAATTTTTGAACTTTAAATGCTTATAAAAAAAAACTGTGACTAAGGATTTTTAATACTTTTCATCTGCCTTTGAAAAAATATACTAGGAGCCTTGTATTAAATTTTCAATCTTTTTTAACCAACAAATAAAATTTTATTGATATTTCTAGAAAAAAAACAAAAAAAATGGAAAATGAAAATGTCCCTAAACAGTTCAAAATAAATCAAAATATTTTGAAAATGTTATCGTATATAGAAAATGCAAATATAAACAACCAGTGAAAATTTCATGTACCTAAGGTCATTTTTTTTAAAGTTACACCAAAAACTAAATTCAATTTTGTGAAAAATCGATTTTGCGTAATAATTCCCGTTTTTCCTTAATTCTTATGTTGTTTTTCCCGGTGCTTTTGAAAATTACTGAGCATTTTAAATTTTGACCTCCCAATGCACCAACGATATTCACTTTCCAATCGAACAAGATACTGAAGTTGAAAATCAAAGCATTATTTCTACTACTTATCGTGTACACAGACACAAAAAAAAAAAAGAAAAAAAGAAAACTATAAATTATATTATACTTGTTGAACTAATATTAATTTTTTTCATGGTTAAATAATAGGAAATTGTTGCGCGTTACCCTTTTATTATATTAATATAGGTAATATGATTATAATTTCTTTTTTAAATATAAATGTGGTGATAAATAATATAGGTCACATACTAAATCTATTTATTGATTTTATCCATTTGATAAATTCATTGGATTGTGTAATACTTATAATATAGTAGTTTGTACTTTGTATAGTAGGTAATTTTAAACTAACAGTTATTTATAGAAATAATTTTTTAATAAATTTATGTTACAATTTGTTATAATTATATTTTACAACTATACATTTTAAATTAGTTATTTTTCTCAGTCAATGTACCCGATCTCTAAAAATTACAGAATGATAAATAAAGATTTTAGTGTACCTATTATTATTATCATTACGAGTAGGTTACCTATAATTATTATATTACTATATTAGGTATACGTTAGGTAATAGGTATACCTACTACAAACATATTATTAATTTAAATAAATATTTGTAATTACTTATTATCATATTTTAATATAACATTAACAGTTGAACTTAAAAAATAATACACGGTAAATTAATATTAATTTAATTGCGCTGTTTTTATTTTATTTACCATTTATTAGATTTTACTATAAGTATTATATTTAAATAAGTAATAATTCAATAACTTCAAATCAAGCTATGTTATAATACAGTTTCTACGGTCTACATGTTGGGACATAAATTTAAGTAAACAGTATCTTAATTTATAATCTGTAGTTCGTAGGTACGCGAGGGTATTGAAAATATTACGGCGGCATTTGCGTATAATGAATTATATAATGATACGAATGGTACTGGACGAACGTTCATAGACAAATAAACGGCGCTCCCGAAGTCCCGAACGAGCACTCGTCGCCGCCGTCGGCCGGTTGCGAATAGTAGGCGTGACTTAAACGCCGCGCGCTTGCGGATCGTGAAAACACCTAACAGCGCATCCTCTCGGTCGTTGCATGCGTACAGCTTTGGGTGACACGTCCTCTTAACGACTTTAAAGTTCAAATGCAATCTCTGGTAGTTTTAAAATGTATAGTGTTTATGTAACTATGTAAATTGATCGTTTTATAACTATATTATAAGATACCTACAAGCATGTCGTATCTACAACTTGTAACCTACCTATAAGGTACAGCCAATTTTCAGTCGGGAAATCGGTTATCCAAAAACAGTACACTGTGTAAATTGAGTTAAATGTTCAGTGTAGTAGTGTACTTTTGGTTTTGGTATTCAAAAATTTGAAACGATGCCCAAAAACGGCACGCGCAAGCAGAATAACGCGTAACAACTATAATAATATAGTCGAGCGAACCGATCTTATAGGTGGCGCTGTTGTGAACAGCGACCGCGTGCCGCCAAAACCGGACGCGACCAGTCAGTCTGTCTCGCACGCGGCACGCCGGTCGTGTGTCTTCCTATTTTTCGATTGTTTTTCGTTTTATTAATTTCTCTCATTTTTTCAACTGGTGCCCGTCATCGATAAATATTCGTACACACGCATATTATTTTCTATACTATATATAATATTTTCGTGATAAATTGTGAGTGATTACCATCGTCAGTGTAATAATACAATGGGTTAAATATCGGAATGTGCGTGTGTTACAATAATAACCAGAATAATATTACTGTGCTAACGCGAAACGATGTCGATATTTGTGCGGTTCTAGTGTCTTCCCGGCGTGATTTCTCCGTTAACTCTGAACCGGAGCCGCGTAAATGCCATAATGGATACGAGTAATGTTGACCGTTAAGATGCAGTGCAAGTGCGGCCTTTGGTGCGCGTTCCTCGTATTATTGGCCGTGTCTGCCGTTTCTGCCACTCAACTTATCAAAGGTATTTGAGACAATATATTAAATCTAAGTTCGTTTGGCTGTTACTATAGATACCGTAATGCATGATACATTTATGGGTTGCTTACCAATACTACCGGTATTAATTTTAAACAATTTTTTTTCGGAGTTGAAGCCCGGTAACTTGAAGGTGGAGAGCTATACCTACTTATTTAATCCTTGTCGGGTAGAAATGCGATGTTTTTCAACGCGTCTTACTATAATGTAATCAGCAAACTGTATATTATATTTACAATTAGCATAACTGGATGCAGATTACTGCACATGTCACATATATGAGGGAGAGTGTCGATATACTATTCTTATCTGTGCAGTGGGCATGGCTAATATTGGTAAACATTGTTATTAGTTCTATACTCGAGTATTAGGTATTGTATTAGAATTTAGAATTATAGTGTGTCAGTATTGATTTCAAAATCAATGGTAGGTATTCGGTAAACAGTAGACATACAGACGTCAGACTTAGTTGCAATACACTATAGGTACTATACTATACCTTCTTACTATATAATATAATTATAATATATTATACCTAAAACATAATTATAGGTACCTACTACCTAGTAGTAGTTAGTACCTACTAATAAGTTATATTCGATTATATTTATGTAATATACCTATATTATATACTATTTAAACACATTTAACCACTAGGTATGAATATTTTAGTATTAAACTAACTCGTATTATACGATTAAGAGGTAAGCCATAAGGTCCGAGCGGTGGGAAAACAAACATCGACTCCTATCTCCCACCGAGCACTCGTTTTGAGTTTCATTGAAATACGTATTATATATAGGCGTATAATCTTTATTACAATCAAACACGAGTACCTATAACAAAACAAACATTAGATGTTATCTTTTTTGTTCCGGTTTTAATATCCCCCACCACAAAAATAAAAACTCAAGACAAACTTAATGTTCGCATAGAATACATAAAACGTTCATATTATTTGAAATGATGGAAGTCAATGTAAGGGTACTATTGTATATATACAGACAACAGACATACAGGCATAATATGCAGTCCGCAGAGTCTAGACCCAGTGGTCAGTGTTGAATACAGACGTATACTTTCGGGGGGGGGGGGGGGGAAATGCCCCCCTGACAAATACAACTTTCAAAAAAATGTACCTATTTATTTAATGTACAATACTCGTTACGATTACTTCACCTAATGGTTTTCACTAAAATATACCTTTTTTTATACCGTATTATGCCAGTAAATGTATTAACTATAGGTACTGACTTTCCCAAACAAAACAAAAGTTTCCCTCCAGAAAAATTGTCTGGATTCAACACAACACCGTATGAATCATTTATTTACGAAAGATGATACCTAAAAGTCACAATTTTTCAAAAAATGCGACTTTTTATAAAAAATTATATGTTCTGTGGCTATGTAGATTGTAGACGGATCATTTACTTCTGAAAGTACAAAAGTTCGTCTGATAATTCATTGTAGGCAATTATATAAAATGACTCGTACCTACCTATATGGTAATTCAAATATTTAGATTATTATATGTGTAGTACACTGGTACAATTTTTTTTTAATTTATCGAAAGTTTTGCTTTATGGACTCCGCCCCTTTCACGAATAATTGATTCATTAATATATAGGAACTTTAAAAGTTCATTACAAAGTTTACACAATATGGTCGTTTAAACTTTAAAGTTAATTTAAGTAAGTTTAGTTTCAATATTTAAAATAAATTCTGTGATAAATAGTTATCTTGCAGCCCAATCACTTTTGCCCGATCCGTATATGTATAGTAGCTCGTATATAGTAGTAGCCAGTAGATAACCTACGCAATATGAAAACTCCGAATTACCATAGGGAATATTTAATACGTTGGTACTTGGTACCTAATAGATTTTATTTTTGTATCACATTCAATAGCCTTTCTTAACAGTTAACTGGATAATGTATAATATTTAGTTACTCACTATTACTCTGTTATTTTATTTAGATTATGACAACCACAGTGACACAGCATACGTCTAGGTACAAAAAATAAATCATTCATTTGGTGGAGATTTATATCATATATACTTAATTTTTACATTAATTAAAATAACCTAAGCTGATAAGGATCTTAAACTTTAAATACCTCTTATTAGTGCTGGTGAAAACGTATTTCACAATTGGTTCAAAAATATTAAAATTTAATTTTGCTACTCATAAAAATATAATGAATATTATAGGGGTTACACGTCTCTTTTTATTAATTATTATGCATTTATCTACGTTTGATTTTTACAGTATAATATTATATTATCTTTAAGCAATTTTCTGTATTCAAATTTTACTGCGCTGTTTTTACGAAAAAATCCAAGAGTGTTTTTTAACCACGATTTTTAAATAAGTTCGTCACGAAGTAATAACTTTTCAAAAAATATGTTTAGGTGACAGCTACATAATATAACAATAGTAACATGTTATGTGTTTACATTATTCTGTACATTCACTACGAGCATAACGGTTCATCAGATTTCATGTATAACTCACATAGAGAGGTTTCTATACAAGAATAGATTTGCTACAGTGTAATGTAATAAGGTCTTCGTACAAGAAACCAAACAACCGAGTTTGTACTATAGAAGACGTCACGTCAAAACTAGAATACCTACCATTTTTGCAAAGAAAAAGACTTGTCAAGTCAGTGCGAGGCAACAAACGGATACCTACATACTAGAGAGACGTGAAATATGTTAAGAACGAGAAAAAAAGATTTCGATGAAAGTCAAATACAGCCTCGATTAATAATGGAAAACGACAAGAGTTTATGGAAGGCATAAAATATATTACAATACAGTCAATATGCACTACGCACGCTCACACGAATTGTATTCCTTGGTATAATAATATAATGTTACCTTGACAAAACTGATTGTTTTGTCACTAGAACAATGCATTAATTCAGCCCGCAGTGTCGTCTGATTTTATTATCGAACTATTTAAAACTAGCAATGCGTTTTTGTTCTCCGCTCGAACCAGACTCATTCAAAGATGGAAACATTCTTCTTTGTCGCTAAAACCATAATAATATATATTTAATACGAAGCAAAAGAAAATAATATCCACTGGACAAGACGTTCCCCCGCATGCACTCATAGTAGGCATATCCGTTGTAGCTTTAATAAATCTCCTCTTTATCGCGACAACTATTCGACTTCATTATTGGACCGATTTGGTCCGTACCTGCCTACCTACCTATCTACCTACATGCGCCGCGGTAATAAACTACGTATCATTTTTCCATTGAATATATAGAATATATACACATACGCTTCCAATAGGAAGTCACAATACCTATCGGCACATATCTCTTGCCATACATCTCGGCCGCATTAAGTCCGTCGGCTGTGTTCAAAGGAGTATTTCTCTTGCCGGTGATATGCATGTTCTTGCATGTAATTATTATACCAGGCGTGTATACAATGAGGCTTGTAAATACAAACGCAGAGCCGCCAGTTCGATCTGCGAATTGTGTTCAATAATATAAAACTGTTAGGCTAATAACATTATATCAATAATGGCCAATATGTAATATCGTTAATCGTTATGTTATATCAGCGGGAATCCACAATTATAGTGCGTGGCCTATGTGGCTAGATATTAATATCATAATTATGACAAGTCAAAAATCTATTTATTTTTATTTTTTACCGTCGAAATAATTATACTTGTAATGGCTATTGTTAAAAAATTCCACCGTAGCCACTTATACGGGTTCTATTGTCTTTTTCGTAGTTATATTTTTTAACTATTCCTCCCACATTTTGTTGCTTGCACCCTTGACCAACATGAATTGCATTTAGAGCTATCTTGAAAAATCAAGCGAGTTTCCATAATTTTAAGTTCAAGGTCTTTTAATTTTTTTTTTTAAATTAAAAAAAAATTGTATAAAACTTATTTAACCTTTAATTGTATTGATCTAAACCAACTCTATATGACGAAGTTAGTTTAACTCTTTTTTTTTAACAATTTAATTTTTTATTTCAATCTATAGGTAATATTGTTGTGTAATATTATATTATATGTGTATAGGTACGAGTGTAAAAGTTTTTAATATAATTTAGTTTTACGTAATTGAATTTTTCTAAATAAGTGCTTTTTAACTTGTAAGTATTCAAATTTTTTAAATTTTAAAATATAGCCTATAGTGCAAACATTACACATTTCAATATTATATTTTCTATTATTCCTAGTATCTTTATAATATGTATTAAACAGCTTAAGCATGTTTATATTACTAATAAATAAAAGGTAAAAAGAGATATGTTGTGGTATGATTCCTTTAATATTTATTAACGGGAATTGGAATAATATTTGTTCTTCACATTGAGGAAAACTACTCTTTACTGTAGAATTTATCGGTTACCTTCAATTTCAAATGTAATCATCTTGAGTCAGACTGTGATACGACCATGATGTTCCTCATTGTATAATCATAAAAACATCCTTGTTTTAGCGACAATTATTGAAGCGATACATTTTAAGCATACAATTAGAAATCTACTTGTCACCAGAAGAAGATTTTTACTGCCGTTTTTTTTTATTGATATTACTTGTTGGTATCGTACGTTTTTACAATCTTGTTATAAGCACATTGTTTATGTTGTAATACTAACGACGTAATTAAAATATAGGACGACCTGATAGTTATATATATATACAGTACATTAAGGTTAATTGCATGATACTTGTATAGTATGTGTTTAATATTATTGTAGTAGATAAAACCGCTCTTCCATGACCCGTATCCGGAGGCTGAACTGATTCTATGCTTGATATTAAAACAAAATAATTTTTATTATTTAACATTTCGTTTATTAATTGAATTTTTACATAGGTAGGTACCTATAATGTGGTGTGAACTATTTTGCGTAATGCTAATTTTTACGGATTACTTAATTAGTTTATTTCAATAACTTATTAGTTTAGTCATATATAGTTTTTGTACAATATGCTTGAA